AGGATGGGAGAGCAAAAGAGGGAAGGGGAGAGAAAAGGAGAGGAGTGGAGTGAAGGAGAAGGGAAAGAAGAGGAGAGGAGGGGAGGGAAGAGGTAAGGAGGGAAGGGGAGGGAAAAGACAGGAGGGGAGGGGATGGAGAGGGCAGGGAGGATGTGGAAAGGAGGTGGAGGGGAGAGGAAAGAAGAGGAGGGGGAGGGAAGAGGAAAGGACAATGGGAGAGAAGAGTAAAGGAGAGGAGGGGAGAGGAGAGGACAGGAAAGGAAGGGAGGGGAAGGAGGGGAGTGGAGAGGAGGGGAAAGAAGGGGAGGGGAGGGAAGACAAAGGGAGAGGGGAGGAAAGGAGAGGAGGAGAAGGAAGGGGAGGGGAAAGAAGGAGAGAGGGAAGAGGAGAGGATGGGATAGGAAGGGAGGGATGGGGAGGGGAAAGAAGAAGAGAGGAGGGGAGGGGAGAGTTGGAGAGGGAAGGGGAGAGGAAAAGAGAGGAGAGGAAGGGAGGGGAGCGGAGAGGGTAAGTAAAGTTGGTTAAGTAAATTTAACATTTAAATTTGGTAAGAGGAAGAAAGAAGACATAAATACAATGAAAACTCATAGGTTCATGCCAGTTGTCAAGGGTTAACTTTGTCCTCCAAGGTCATGCTAAAACTCTGCAAAGCTCTCTCCCACTATATTTAGCATCAAAGAACATTCATCAGACATAACTTCCTCTCTTTCCTTGCTCATCTTCTTCCTCTTTCCACAATCAGCTTCTCCCTTTGCCTTTCTTCTTCCTGATTCACAATTAGCCGTGTGCAAGCATCATCAGCCACTGATGGAGCAGGGATGCCTTCCAGGAACCCCTGGATGTTTGAACAATGCCCCAGGAACCCCAGCATGTCTCCAGCTCCACAGAATGAAGAAGAAAGAAAACATAAACATAAAGAAAACAATAGGGAAATAAATAACAATGGGGATTTGAAGTCCAGATCACTCCCTGGCACAGCATGAAAAACTTTGAGTTCTCTTTCTGTTTAGCCTTCTAAGAGAATGAATTTATCCCTGCCAAATATTCAGGCAGGTAGGCAACAAGTAATGATCATGAGTCATATTTTTAATTGTGAATTATCTCTCTGCTTTATATACTTCATTCCTCTTCTTCCTGAAAAAACTTGGCTCCTTGACACTCTAACCACAAGAAAATGTTCTCTGTGGAAAATGGTTCATGAGTGTTGAGCAAATGAGTAAAGGGAGACTGTCTTTCCCATGTTTCCTTATAGAATGTTCTTGATTCTAAAATAGATACCAAGGGGCGGGAGCAATAGCACAGTGGGTAGGGCATTTGCTTTGCATGCGGCCAAGCATCCCATATGGTCCCCTGAGCCCAGGAGTAATTACTGAGTGCATGAGCTAGGAGTAACCCCTGTGTATTGCTGGGTGCGACCCCCAAAAATAAAAATAAAATAAAATAGATACCAGATTTTTTCCCATACTTTAGACTCTTGGTGTCACACATGACTGATCAACAGAACATAGTGGATGTGGTATTTTTAGTGTTCCAGAAGTTCTATCCGCTTTCCCTCTTTCTCTTCCTCCATAACCATTTCATGCAACATGAAAACAGGGGATAGGTTTCTATTAAGGAACCCCAGAAGAGAAGTCTCCATGTGCAGTATTGTCAACTTTCCTATATGCACTATATGCAAAACTCCCAAACACTGCATATGAGAACTGGTCTACACTGAACTTACTATGTCTACACTGAACTTACTATGGTTGGGGTCTGAGTGTGGATGCTGAGGACGGACAATCCAGAGATGGTGGTGGCAAGAAACGGACTCTGATGAAAGATGTGATGTTGCGACTTATTAATCATAAAAACTTTATTATTAACAGTATTATAAATTATGGTGGCAAAAAGTTATTTTTTAAATGTATCATGGTAAATATGCACACTGGAATACTATGCAGCTGCAAGGAAATATGAAATCATGTAATTTAACACTACTTTGTTGGAACTGGAAAATATGATGTGTGAAGTAAGCCAGAAGAAAGATAAACACAGGATGATCTCACTTATCTGTGGAATATAGACAGCTGGATGAAGAAATTATTGTAATAAAAGGAGAATGTGTATATAATCCTTGACCCCAGTGTTTAGAGAGGAGACAGATGGGTCTGGAGTGATAGCACAGCGGGTAGGGCATTTGTCTTGCACACATCTGACCCAGGTTCAATTCCCAGCATCCCATATGATCCTCCAAACACCGCCAGGAGTAATTCCTGAGTGCATGAGCCAGGAGTAACCCCGGTGCATCGCAAAATAGAGAGAAGACAGACCGATAAGAAAATAAATCAAGGAGAAAAGAAAAGAACAAGAAATAATTAATTAACAGGTCTCAGGGTTTTAATTATATTGGTGATATGAATGAGGCTTGCAGCCATCTACCCCAAACACATATTCGACAGAAATGAATACATGATCTCTAAGTAGAAACCCCTAAAACTTAGTGATGTGCCTGTCAAGTTGACATATGGAGGTAGTGTAGGGGTTGGAATGGAGAGGGAATCTGGAAACACTGGTGGGAGAAAGTTGACACTGATGGAGGGATTGATGTTGAATTATTGCATTCTAAATACAACTATCAGTAACTTTGTAAATTGAGACTCTAATAATTTTTTAACAAGAACATAAAATAAAAAAGAAAAAAGATTGTGATGACCAGAGTGATAGTACAGTGAGTAGGGTGCTCACCTTTCATGTACAAGACCTGGGTTCAATCCCAGGGACCACATATAGCCCTTGGAATTTCAGCAGTAGTGATCCCTGAGCAAAGAGCCAGAAGTAGCCTTGAACACAGCTGGGTATGACCACAAAACTTACTAATTAAGTGCAATGGAATTATTTAATTATATCTGAACATCTGAGCTACAATGTGAGCTAGAAAATAAGAACCTTTCTTATAATTCAGTATTAGGAAAACTTAATTCAAAAGATTACTTTGTTTTTTCTTCTAAATAGACCCACTTAAATAGATATCAAAATCAATCACATAGCCAAGACTGGCTTCAGCAAAGTATACATGGACCTCAAATTTTTTCTAATTGTTTTAGGGTCAAGTTAGCAAACTCTACTTGATCCCCAAGAGGATTTTACCTCTCATATATCTTTTACCCCATAGCTATTTTATCCCTCTTTGCTGAAGAATTAATCACCAATAATTTGGCTTGCATATATATTTATTTTTATGATTGACAACCAAGAACAATTGCAACAGAATGATGTCTATTCTTTCCCTAAGTGATTTCATCTGGTCCCATGGATTTAATTAAGAACTACCTAAAATATGACGACTCTAAAATGTTATTTAAGTTTTAACTAGCTCTCTGGTCTGAAATAAAAAAAATTCAATTTTCTGCACGTTCGCTATTTATTGGGATGTTAAAATCAATCTGTTCAAAATAAAATACTACAGTAAATGGATGAGCACTCTCTCTTATAATATGCAGAGGATTAATGCTAATTATCAGACACAAAGGACATCCCATTTTTACTTCCATTAAAGCACCTAAATATTGGTCAGTTACTTTATTTTCACACTGATACTAGAAATGTGGCAACAATTATTATCCAAACAGTCATGTTTCACAGATAGCAGATTCTTTTCTTCTGTTTCCTGTTTTCCTCTTATTAGTTGGACCAGACTTTATTGGTAATTATAAGGAGAAATATCCGAAAACTAAATTAGTCTCCCATATGAAACTAAATGGATTTACCTGCCACAAAATATACTAGAATCATTTGCTCCAAGATACCACAAATTTGTAGAGTTACACATTGAAAAAAATTATTTTTTTCTTGTAGCCTCTCCAACACCAGCTTCCTCTGCTCACATGTTCTTTCCTCTGTTTTGTAAACTGGTTTTATTTCAAAACCAGATTTAGAAATGTAATACTAAAACCATCCGAAGGGAAGGAATCATCTTTAGAAAATTGGGGGAAAATAATATATAAAGGGCAGAAAAAGCACAAATAAGGACATACTAGGAAAGAACAAACATGGAAAAAAGGAGTTAAAACTTTTCCACTATTGTTAATAGAGAATAAACATTGTCACTTCAAGGCTTCAGCAGTTGAAGTCACAACAGGGCCATTTAGGAATTCAACTGTTATTAGTAATATCAACAAAATGCATATAACAGCATCATTAAAGTAATTCTAAAGTAACATCATACCTGAAAATAATAGCAACAAATCAACAATCATTCAACTGAAACCATAGTATATTTAAGACATAACTGGCATGATGGGGCTGGAGCCATAGCACAGTGGTAGGGCGTTTGCCTTGCACGCAGCCAGTATGGCTGACCCGAGTTCAATTCCTCCGCCACTTTTCTAGAGAGCCCGGCAAGCTACCGAGAGTATCTTGCCCCCATAGCAGAGCCTGGCAAGCTACCTGTGACGTATTCAATATGACAAACACAGTAACAACAAGTCTCACGATGGACATGTTACTGGGCCCGCTCGAGCAAATCAATGAACAATGGGAGGACCGTGACCATGACCGTGGCATGATACAAGAATTAGTAATTACCATAAATACATAAATATATTTACGTCTACTTTATAAATAAGGATATCTATTCATTTGCCCTCTGTTTCTCTCTCTCTCTCTCTCTCTCTCTCTCTCTCTCTCTCTCTCTCTCTCTCTCTCTCTCCCTCACCCTTAAATTGACTTTCTATGCTTTGTTTTTTTAAATATTTATAAAATTCCTAATCTAACTTTTAAAAGGCTCAACTTATTTGTGCAGCAGTGGGCAGAAAAGCAAAGAAAGACGAGTGACAGATTAATTGGGAAGGAAAAAGGAAATGAAAGACACAGAAGAGAAATAGATGGAGAAGGAAAGGAAACGGAAAGGAAGTCTTCAAAGATTTCAGTGGGCAATATGATACCAAGAGTTAGAATTATAACTCATGAAGATAGATTCTTATCAGGACCTTCAGATTATGAGACTGACGTACTGCTGCGGGGGTGTAGCTCAGTGGTAGAGCGTGTGCTTAGCATGCACGAGGTTCCGGGTTCAATCCCCAACCCCGGCACCTCCATCCCCTGGGTTCTGCAGGAACATTCCTCTTTTCACCTAAAGAATTGCTCATTCTCAGGGCTGGAGTGATAGCACAGTGGGAAGGGCATTTGCCTTGCACGTGTCTGACACAGCCGACCTGAGTTTTATTCCTCCGCTCCTCTTGAATAGCCCGGCAAGCAACCCAGAGTATCTCGCCTGCCCAGCAAACCCTGGCAAGCTAATCCTGATGTATTTTATATGCCAAATACAGTAATAAGTCTCATAATGTTACTGGGCCCACTCAAGCAAATTGATGAACAATGGGAGGACAATGACAGTGACAGTGAAGATGGATTAACAGTTGGACTGGACTGCTTGGGTGTTTTGTTGAAGTGAGATTTGACCAGTGTTGATAAGTGTCTTAACTGAATTTTGATTCTCCCTTAACTAGTAATTGAAGGTGATATATTTCTTCTTCCTTATGTTCCTCAGCACCCCAGCTGAGAGAGAGGTAATGTGAGGTTCCTGAGAGCCAGTGAGTAAATTAAACATCTGGCCAACTGACCCTGGGTCACTCATATGATTCTCAATTACTCTAAGAACTGAGCAGTTCTGGCGAACAAGCACCACTTAGGGTGAAAGATAAACTGGTGATGGTTTCTCACACATCTTAAGCTCTATGGTCTTTGTCTTAGTGGCTTCCCACAAATATACATGAGTTGATGGCTAAGCAGAGACTTCAAGGTTTTGGCTTTGCCTACTCTACTATGGAATCTGCTCCCCACCCCCTTCCCCCATTTCAAGATCATGATGAACTTACCAGCAGTGGAGTTATTGCTTTACTGTACTATAATTGCCATTTAATGTAATTCTTTCATTCACTTTTAAGGGATTTTAATATTGAAGGCTCATTTTCTCTTCTTCTTCAGGCCAAGTTTCTTTTCATTATTCTGAGCCTTTATTGTCTTTAGAAAGACTTTAATTCTATGACAGAGCATAGAGGAAATGAGGCAAGAAGCACAGTACCACCAGAACAGCCCAAAGTTATTAGCTACACCTTTTCTCTTGAGTGAATGTCAGATCGTATAACTTCACTCAGAGCTCAAGTGAAGAAATTAAATGTGACTGATTGAAATGGAGAACTTCAAGAACCTCTCATTGTAGTGTGTGTGTGTGTGTGTGTGTGTGTGTGTGTATTCCCATCATTATTATTCTCAGAGTAGTACTTATACTTTACCTCACTCCATACTCACTATTTTTCAGATTACAGGTTATATACAAGGTACATATGTGACCAGTGATTATCTGATTTCATAAAAATAATCTATTTAGGAAGGATAAGAAGAAAATACTTTAAAATAATAAAGAAATGTGGGAAACTCCTCATTATCTTCCCAGTGGTAGACAAAAATACTAGGCAGACAGAAGAAATGATGTAAGATAAGATAAATACCCAGTTTAGTAAGGAAACTGCAGTATACAATTGTGGGTCATAGTTTTTAGTTTCTGAAATAAATTTTGAGACATTTCTGGTAATCATATCTAAGTTGGTTAGAAGAGATGACTCAATAGATATTTATGGATATTTCCAAGGGCTCCTTCTTATCACCAAAACATAAATATTACCATCAGGGGGTGTTTTATAAAGTGTCCAAGTACCTAGCAACAAAACAGAAAACAATCTATCAAGTTTAAGTCTCAAGAGAGTCTGCCTGAAAAAAGTCACAATATTAAAAAACGTCATCCCCAATAACAAATGCCTATGAACCCTATACCAGAGACACGAACATTATTATTTAACAAATAAAAATCAGTCTTGCTTCACTGGTTGTTGATTCAAGGAATATTCTAGATAAGCAGAATTCAGAGGGCTCCTTGGAGATCATAAACCCCTACAACCTAATTTCTCCCTTCTTATATATAGAGAGAGAGTGAGAAGAGATAAGAAAACTTGAATTCTTAAGCCCTTGCTTGAACACAATTAATTCCAAAGTACTATATCTACTGGAAGAGACTAATATACTATTATTAATTCTAAAGTTGCAATTAGTATAAATACTAATGAATCACCAAACAATAAGGTCACTCCTATTAGTTAGTTCCATAGCATTAAGCAAAACAAGATTTGTCTTACTGACTATATAGCCACCTAGTAAATTGTCAACCGTCTCTCTTACAAAACCTTGGTAAAATGACTCTGAAAGAATTAATTTAGATAATCTAAATTAATGTCGTCTCTCTGAAAATTGAGGCCAAAAAAGTTCAAATAACCTGCTATCAGTATTTGATGAATAAGGATGTCCAGTGCAGAGTTTTTTTCTGTTGTGTTGCCCTTTCCACCAAGGATCATCTCTGCCTATTTTCTTATCCAGTGGAAAGTCACCATAGGGTTGCATTCAGATGAAAAGAGAGAAGAAATATTGAAGATGTGAAGGACCTCAAACTCTGAATGGAAAATACCAACTGATTCTTGAATGCAGCGGCTTCATCAATACTCTTCTAATACCGTGAGAAATCATTAAAAGATGCTACTGAGTCAACTGAAAAAAATCTAAGGTGATTCTCAGATCACTTCACTGTTGGGGTAAGTGGAAATCTCCCTTGATACATAATTTTAGTCACAAGTACTACCATCTAAAGGAGCTATGGGGCTGGAGTGATAGCACAAATGGTAGGGCGTTTGCCTTGCATGCGACCTGACCCGGGTTCGATTACCAGCATCCCATATGGTCCTCCGAGCACATCCAGGAGTAATTCCTGAGTGCATGAACCAGGACTAACCTCTGTGAATTTCTGGGTGTGACTCCCCCTGCCAAAAAAAATCTAAAGGAGCTAAACAATGTTATATTAGACTACCTTACCACTCACATATGGCAATTTAAAGAGGGTGTGTTTAGGAATAATTTTGTGTACTTAATTTTATTACCCAAAAAATAAGACTATGAGTATTGCAGTTTTCATATTTTTCTGTTATTCTAGCCAATTTTTTATTTAGTTCACAAAGCAAATGACTTTTCTTAATATTGTAGACACCTTACTTTCTTAGTCTAACCTACTTTGCAATATACTAGAGTATTTTATTGCTTTGAAAATAGCAGAACTGTATGTATCTTTCTTGGGCATATTTATTGTCTTGGTTAATGTTTTATTCCTCTGGTTCGGTTTTGTTTGTTTTGCATTAGTCATAATAACTATGTAATTCTGGATTAAGGAATGATATTTCTAAACTGTTACTTTATGGTCTATTAATTTCTTCAGTGTAATACAGAGATTTGTATATTAAATTCATATTGAAAGTTTTCTAGAAGTACAGCTTGTGAGTAGGAACTCTCATTTGCATGCATAAGTAAATATTTTCATGGTGAAGTCAAATGTATTTACATGATCAGAGGTCTATTTGCATGTACAAATATGGGTTTCATGTACCCAACATAAGAGTTCTCAAATTCTTCTTTCGGTAAAATATCAAGAATGAATGAGCTCATGAACCCCAAAATACTCAATTTTCCCCTCACAGTATCTTTTTTAACATGGTTAGCTTTTTGCAATAGATTTGATGCAGAGTCATGTAGAAGAAGAAAATATGAAGACATATTTTGGTGGCAAATGCCACATAAAATTTAAACTGCACACATAGTACAAGCATCGTAGAACATTAGAACAATGATCTCTGACCAGCTCGCCCAAGGATAATCATCACACAAGGCAGCTGATTGGGTCGCTGCCTTCGGAAACTTCGACAGGGCTACAACCCTAACACGTATCTCATTCCTCTTTTCATAAAGGGTCATATTTAATGCAATGTGACTAAAAACTCTCTAAAACAAAGTGAGACAAAACAAAAACACATATTACCCCCATTCTAGACTTAAAATCATGTGAAAAATAAAGTCAAGCAGCAACTAACTCTGTGCCCATATCAGAATGCTAATATAATCCTGTATCCCTTGAAAATTAATGTAGTCTGAATTTTAAGGATGACCTTTGAATCCTGGAAAATCCTAGTCTCTTGACCACCAAAGTGTGGGTTGCCAGTTTTATTCCCAATGAGGCCAGGTGAAAGATGCAAAAATTTTGGAAGAGAAACCATTTGGCTCAAACCCTACTTCTCATTTGAAAATTTCTATGGTGCTCAACAGGCTTCTCCCCAAAAGCTATTATGTCCACATTTAACTTTTGGACAGGGTCCCAGAATTTCTGAAGGTCTTTGATTTTTGTACTGATTCAGAGTGGTGGAAATTTCTGCATGGAAGAATATTTAGAGTAAGTGCATAAATATGGCCTCTTCTATTCACCCACTGAAGCACAGGACCCATTCTGAATGCATGCTTACTATTTCCACCCAATAAAAGGAGGAAATATAAAAGGCCCATTAGATCATCTTGTCAACTCTTTTCCTTCGTTTCTTCAACAGTCAGCATGCTGTCAAATGAAATGATCCGCTTTAGAACATCTCCAAGGACAAAGGCAAGGAAGGTCTCTGGAATTCACATAGATGCCCGGCCAGCCAGCCTGCCACAATAACGCCCTATGATTCATAATTGGAAATGATGAAAAAAACATAACAACTTTTTATCATCACCTGCCACCTCCCAGTGTTTCTTTCTCCCAGGATTAACAAACACAATGACAAAATTTGAGGGGGGAGAAAAAAATCTTCTAAAAAAAAATCACGTTCATAGGCAATGATTTCTTTCAGTGCTATTAATAAACTAAAACACTTATCCAACTGAACTTTTACTCTGTGTGTGATTGTGGACCAGAGGAAAGTCTCAGTATCATCTATATCTGACAAACCTGATGCACTGTGCTAATGAGTCCTAATGGTTTTAACATGCATCTTCCAGAGTTGGCCAACTTGAAGCTCATTCCATCATGGAAAAAAGAAAAAAAAGTTCAACTTTATGCCAGGGCCAAAGGTTAGAGTTGTTTGAAGTTTGTCAATCTGTTCAGTGTTAAATTTATAATCAGGATGCAGAGCATGTTTGCTCAAACCCTTGTGTTTTTCTTCTGAATTAGAAGAGTTTTCTTTCATTATTA